TTTCAGTGAATTGTTGTTGTTATGTGCCATTGAGTCGGACCCAACTCATAGCGACTCCACCTTGGGTTTCTGAGGAGGTATCCCTACAGAAGTAGATTACCCAACCTTCCTTCCAAGGAGTGGCTGGTGGGTTTGAACCGCCTGCCTTCTGGTTAGCAGTCAAGTGCCTTTAGGTACTAAACCACCAGAGCTCCTGGTTTCAGTGAGAGTCTAAGGTTAAAAAGACAGCCTGTAGAGGGTTCTTGGGTCCCCACGTGGCATGGAGAGAACCAGCCATACAAAGCCAGGTAAAGAGGAAGATGGGATGTCTTGGCAGACACCTAGGAGAACCTCTGACTTCATCTCCCACCATTCTCCCCCTTGTCCACTCTTCCCAGCCACTCTTCCATGCCCTTTAAATAACCAGGCAACCATGGGGCTGGCCCTCTCTTGGGAATAGTCTTTCCACCAATGTCCATGTGATTTCTTATCTTGCTCTATTTAGGTGTTTTGAAGTCTTATTTCCCCAGGCAGGACTGACCACCCTTCCCTCAAATAGCTCACACTCACATATCACCCTGTCACTTTCTATCCTCATTTCCCTGTTCTGTTTCTCTGTCTGGCAATGACATGGTTATTGTGGTTGGGTGCCAGCAAGTCAATCTAGACTCATAGTGACTTCATGTACAAAAGAATAAAACATTCCCTGGTCTTGCACCATCCTTACAATCATTGCTATACTTAGGCCCATTGTTGCAGCCACTGTGTCAATCCATCTTGTTGAGGGTCTTCCTCTTTTTTGCTGACCATCAGAATTGACACAATGGCAATGAGTCTGACATTAAATATTATGTATTTGTTTGTTGTCCATCTTTCTGACTAGAAAGAAAGCTCAGGGAAAGCAGGGTTTTGTCTAGTCTGTTCAATGCCATGATTAGAATAATGGCTGGTGCATGGTGGGCATTCAGTAAAATTTATGAAATGAGTGATGGAAGCTCAGGCCTACACAATTTTTATTTTAATTTTAGACTGAGAAGGAGTTTAGGGAAGAGATTGGGAAGGACCCAATTGAGCAAAATATTCATTTATTTCAAATGAGTTGAGTTATGAAGATATCTGGAAGAGCCAGAGACTGGCACTTGCAGAAGTTCTGAGGCAAGAGTCCACCTGCTTGCCTGACAAGTTTAGGTAACAGGGAGGGCAGTGTGGCTGGAGAGGAGGGACTGAGGAGGAGAGGGGCAGGAGTTCCGAATGATAACCAGAGAGGCAGAGTGTGTCCACTGCTCTATGCCCAGCACCAAATGGGCCCAGAACAGTGGTGTGAGGGGAAAATGTGCTGAGTGTTCACATTTGAAACCTTAAT